CAATCTCTCCACAACCTCGCCAGCATTTGTTATTTTCTGTCTTGTTGAACTTTGCTACAGTGCTGGAGAAGGTAAGCATTTTTTAAATTTCAATTTTAATTTAACAATTTCAAAATTTCAATTTTAACTTTTTCTAATAATGCCTGCCAAAAACAGAGTTAAAGCTATAATGAATTTATAATTTTGATAAATGTTGCCAAATTGTCTGTTGAGACTTTACTTTGCTATTAGTCAACAATAGAGGAGGGTAGCTATTAACCTCACCAATGTAGTGTATTGTCAAAGTTGTAGACTTTTGCCAATCTAATTGGTGAGAAACTGTATATCAGTGCAGTTTGCATTTGTTTGCTTTTATTATGAGTGAAGTTGAACATCTTTTCATATAGTCAAGTGTTTGTGTATCTAGGTGTGTATTTATTTCTCTTTTGCTCATTTTTCTATCAAGTTTGTTCTTTTTCAGTTTTTAGTAGTTTGTTATATATTTGACCAATAAACCATTTGTCTTTGATATGAGTAACAGACATTTTTCCAAATTTGCATCCACTTGTTTTTTGACTGCTTCTTGTGGTGATGGTGGTGGTAGTTGCTAGTGTGTGTGTGTGTGTGTGTTACCATGCAGACATTTTTTAACCTATATGTTTGTTTATTGATTTATCTTTGTACATAAGTGACTGGCACCAGAGTCCCTCTTCTGGGAATCTGGTCCTCAGACTGCCACTGGACACCAGCAGAGTTACTGCTGATGTGAAATTTTGCTTATATTAAATGACCCCATCTCAGACTTCCAACTATACATATGAACATACAAACATACATACTGTGGTGGTTAAGTTTGTGTGTCAACTTGGCTGGGCCTGGTTGAGTGGCTGGGCAGCCAGATGTAGTATTCCCCATGATGAGACCGGTAATCATCTCCATGGTGGGATCTACCACAAGCAGCGGAGTAGCTGCTTTAGGGATATGGTTTGCTTCCCATATATAAGTAGCAGCTTTGGGAATGGTCTCCAGCTTATGGCACACTTGAACCCTGCATGTAGTGGTGTTGTTGTTCAGCAGTCTGACATGCTCTGCTGAACTTGGGACTTTCAATGGACTTGAATTAATGGCTTACTGTGTGGTTTGGTAACGTAGGGATTGTGCCTTTTTACTTGTCAACCTTGGGCTTGTCAGCCTCAGCAGCCAGCAGCTGTCTGAGTGAAGGAAAAAAGCCTCTAGCTCCAGTGGGCCAGGAGCAGGAGGCAGAGCTGAACCTATGGTCAAGGGCCTTTCACCAAGCCTCTAGAGCCTGGCACTTTGAACTTGGACTTAAAGCCTCCAAACTGTAAGAGAATAAACTGTTTGCTCAAGCCATCCCATTTGTGGTATATTCTTGTCAGAGCAGTACTAGGTAACCGGAACACATACATACATACATACATATATATATATGTATG